CTTGCTAACGGTCCTCATGCCAGAGGCAGTTTTCTTGACAGGGGCCATGTTCTGCAGCGGTCAGGCTGTCTCTAAGAGTAAGAGCCCTACCCAGGGAACAGATAAACAGAACAATGTTTGAGCCTCTGGTACTCTTTAATGTAATTTTCAGGGAAATATATGTGTCATAACAACATAAAGCAGGCATAGTTCCCTTGCTTTCAATCTGCCTGGTGCCAGGGTCCACGTCATTTCAGCATCAAAACAGATCCAGCAAGTCCATGGTAACTTTGCTCTCCCAAGAGCTGCCTCTTTTGCCCCCTTGGTTTGTACTTGTCTCTTTTCTTCCAGCAGCCTTCCTCACCCCTGTCAGGGGATGTCACGTACTGTTATGGTTAACATCTAATTTTCACTGGAAGCCCTTGGGAATTGGGCCCTTATCTCCACATACCATGCACATCAAAATGGTTAATCAACCCTATTAATTCCAGGGCTTGCTGCTGATCTGGATAAAACACTGCACTTTCCCAGCACTGTAGCTTTGTAGTCAAGTTTCACATTGCAGCACCCTCCTTGCAGTTTGCTCTTTGCTCCTTGGGGCTGGACACGTTCCCCTGCAGTCCCCTGGCTGTCACAGAGAGGTGTCAAGGCTCTGCTCTAAGGCTCAGAATGGTTTTGGCTGATTTGCCAGACCAGGAGCATCCCATCAGCTTGAAAATTTGGACTTGAGAGTCCTTGATGTCACTTCCCAGTGCTCTGGGCAGTCATTGCCACCTCCAAACGTGGGTGCAGGGCACCTGCAGAGCACATCTGCCCAGTTGTTTGGCCTGAGAAGGTGTCTGAAAGCAGGGAGAAAACTCAGTGACATGTCAAGACCAGGGCAAAACTCAGGGGATGTCATTACAGCTGTGGCACTGGGGGACCTGAGGAAGGGGACATGCCTTTGCCCTTGTCCCAGCATGCCTGCTTTAGGGAGGGGTGGTGAGACATGACTTATGCATCAGAAGACACATCCTGATAAGAAACAAACTTCAGAGGACTAGACATGGGAGGTTTAGATGCAGGAGGATGGTTTATAGACATCTTCCTGACCAGATGAAGTGGACCAGATTCTGCCACCTTTTCCCACCTCCACCAGTATTTTACCCCATGGCTGACCCCCAGCCTAAAGCCAAATGTCTCCAACAGCTGTGAGGACGTCTTGTGTTTAAAGCAGCCACGAGGCATCCACCTAATAGCCCGGGGCTGCTCAAGATGTGCTGCTCCTTGCTTTTCTCGGAAAGGGTTCTTGCAACATAAAAGAAGTGCAGGCAAACAAAGAGCCCCAGGGAGAGAAGTGACAACTGGCAGCTGGAGCTGGCGGGTGACTTGCCGAGTGACAGAGCAGTTGGGAACCTCGCTACTCTGCTACTATTTTGGAAACTTCAATAAACAGAAGAGGCCAGATCAATCCCTCGGTGCTCCAGCACAAACGCTAAGGAGCCCTGTTGACTTCGATGGCAACGGCAGCCTGAGACACCAGTTTCTCCATATGCACTGTGCTTCGTTTGGACCCCGGGCAAACTCATCAGAAATAGCCACTGAAAACATTATTAGCAGTCCACTAATTAGCAGGTCTCAGCTCCTTTGTTGGTGCAAGCTTGCACCAAGGAATTCATGCTCATTTGTGCAATGGAGAATATGACTGTTTAACTTCTGTGTGGGAGCTTTCAAGCAGCTGGAAAAAAAGTATGGATGTTTATATTTTTAAAAAGGGATTGTTTTTGCCGCTGTCAATTATTAATGGCTCTCAGGTCAGGCTAAGGAACAATGCCAGGGATAAATTACCCTGTATGCTATTCATATATGCTCTCCCCAATTGTTTCCTTCTGAACTAGAGGATTCACCTCGCAGTGAACTCCTTGGCATTTGGAAGAAAAGGACTGATGAAGCAATGAACTCGGAGTGCCCGTTTATTTATGCATCGACATCTTTCCTACTTTGTCAGGTGTGTTTAATCAAAAAGAAGCAGGAAATGCATTATAATTATAAACATATTACTGCGCAAGAAAAAGGCTGCCCTTGGAAAGGATTGTATTGTTTGATAAACGGTTACAGTGAAAAAACACAGGCTTAACCTAGGAAGCTCTTTGCTAAGATCAAAGCAAAGCTGCCTGCCACCACAGGCTGCCTGTGCAGCAGGATTCAGCTCTGAGTTTGCAGCAAGGGAAGTGGAAGAAAGTTAAAAAGAAAATGCAATCTCCTCCCTTCCTTTTTTTTTTTTTTGCCTGAAACTTTTCCCCTAGTATAAAAAATGACTCAAACATTAAACATTTGCTGTTAAAATTAACAGAATTAGTGATGAACCCAGCTGAGAACACAATAATTAGGGCCCGGTCCAAAGCCCCTTGCTGAAGCCCATGGAGAGACTTACTGTTTTCAATGGGATCTGGCTTGGGATCCTGGTGAGCCAAAGCAAGGATGGAGTTACGGCATAACCCTGGGAGATCCTGGATATCTTGCAGTCTTTCCATGTGACCTTGCCCAAACTTGCAAGCATTCCTTAATCCCGAGCACAGCCGAACCCAAGTCAGTAATCTGCTGCTGCTGCGAAAAGCAAAAGTCCTTCTGGGCTGCGAGACCAGGAGTGCTGTAGGTAAGACGCAGAAGGGGTTTATTGCCCTTCTCAGCACTGTGAGGCTGAGCCATGGCTCTGCACTTAAATAAAAAATAAACTACAGACAAACTGGAAATTGTCCAGAGGAGAGCAACAAAAATGATCAGAGGTCTAGAAAACATGACTTATGATGAAAGATTGAAAGGGCTGGGTTTGTTTAGTCTACAGAATTTGAAACATACTAATAAACTTTAAAGATGTAAAAAAATATATGGTATCAAAAAGGGTAATCGATTGCCCTTTATCTCTGTGGGAATGGCAGAAGGTACAGCAAAGAAGACTTAGGATAGATACTATTAAAAACTCAAGTATGTTACTTAGGGAGGGAGCAGAGTGTCTTTCATGGGAGATTTTCAATGTGTTGGACAAGTACCTGCCATGAAGCACTGGGTAACTCACTGTCCCATGGAGCAGGCTGCTTTCAGCCATGCAGTCCTATGGTTTCCATGATATGGTGACTGTTTTGGGACACCTGGGAATGAGACCTTGGAGGTGATGAGCCTTCACAGCACTCCCTGGCTTGAAAAAAAGCAGCAGGTGCTCAGCCCTTCTAAAAGTTGACCCCCAAATCAACGACACTTTCTTAAAACCCTCTTTTCCTTGGCTTCCATGGTTATTAAATAAAGAACAACAAATTCCCATCTCTTCATGGGGCCATCATTGTATTTGTGAAATACCCTGCTGCTCTTCCATGGGGGATTCCCATCTAAGCGAGCGCTCAAATGCTCGAATATTAGGATGATGAGACCTCTGGAAAAGCCTGTGGTGACTCAGAAAATATTCCAGGTAGCGGTGGCCTTGCAGATCCCGCTCAGGAAAGTCCCCTCCTGACGCTGGAGAAAAGGGGTACCTTGGTCAACCTTTGCTAGAAGTGCTTTCACCTGTAGCACCACTGGGTATGACAATTGCAAAGCACTCAGGACGGTACTAGGTATTACTCTAGGTGGGCCAGATGGTGGCCAGCACCTGATTAGAAAGGCAGCATCCCTTCTCCCCATAGCGTCTGCCCCGGGGCTGCATATCCCCTGCCATGAAGCTGTGTGTGCTGCTGCCTCCCTGTGACTAAGCGGCTCTGACGTCCCTCGTCCGCCTCTGTAAGGCTCAATACTGTTCTCTGGTTTCAACCCTTTTTGCAAAGGGCCCCAAATGCTTTGGTCAGAGTTTGCATCAAAGCCAACTGACCACAAGACAGAAGTCTATCAGAAACCAGGCTTTGTATTTACTGCCCAGCAAACCCAATTTCCTTGAATTATGGGCACGAGGTGAGGCGTTTGTGAAGGGAAGGAGCACAGGTTTGCAGCCAGAGCAGAGCTGGCCATAGCCCTTGGCATCTCCAAGGACTTGGGGGTGACGTGAGGGCTCCCCGAGGGCCGGGGTAAGGATGCTGTGCTCAACGCTGCTGCGACCATGCCTCTTCTTTGCACTTCCCATTTCCTGCCCAGCTACGGCTGTGCAGGGTACTATTTGGTCCCTGCATGAATGCTGAGAAAATCGCTAGTTATATGATACGGGAATTTAAAAAGTCTGTTTGCTTCCAAGCATAAACCAATGACTGTGGCAATGGTTTGCAAACATGGGGTTATGGCCTCAAGTCAGCTTTTTTTCCTTGGATCTGGGTACAGTCACGAGCCTGGCAGGAATCCGTGTCAGCTAAAATGCATGGCAGCAACTGATGTCTCCTGGAGTTTTGGAGCTGAGTGGGGTCACAACAGGAAGGAGTTTGGGAAGGCAGCACTGCAGTGTTAGGAATAAACATCTCCCCGGGGCAGACTTTCCATAATTGGCCATGGCAAGGCTTCTTTCTCCAGAGAGCTGGAGCTGGCCTGCGAGGAAGCAGAATGAATCACTGCTCCGGTCCAATTTGGCAAGTGCTGTGATTTAGCCCTGCTTTGCACGGGGAGAAGTTGATGATATAGACTGAAAGACAGAGGAGAAACGTAGCCAAAGGCTTCTGAGCTGGGAGATGACTTTGGGTTCCCACTCATTTTTTGCAGGTTTACTCAGATCCTTAGAAGGAAACCCTGGCAAAAAACGCTGGTACAAAAACAATTCCCTTTATCAACAATGCAGAGAGAACAATGGGGACTCCTGAACACAAAGCTCATACAAACAATAATAAGCATTTTATTTTGCATTGTTAAAACAGCAGTTGATATGCGATTCTTCCTTCCAGCCCCCCACTTCATTAACTATTTCTGTCGCCCTTCTGCTCCCAGATACAGATTTATGGGAGGGGATCTTAGCAGTTGGAGTTGGTGTCCTGCAACGTGGTGGTGACCACGTGGCTGTGCAGCCTTCTGTGAAGAGGAGGGTTGAGCGTGGTTTCCTCATGCCACCCTGTACCCTTGGAAAAGTCCCACCTTCTTTCAAATATGAGGAAAAAGGGGTGTTGTTTCTGCCATCCTTTCTCTGGATGGTCATCAGTGCTATCTTTAAAGCTCCTTGCTATCTCAGCAATCTTACCAAGCCTGATGACCTCACAGCAGTTCACAGCCTGTTCAGTATCTGATGATTAATCCCCTCCCTTTAAAAATATGCACTTAGTGGCAGAACCCCACAAAAATATTGGTGGAGCCAGAGCTGCTTTGCCAAGTGGCAGAGTTAGACTTGCTCTTCTTGGAAAGCTGGTTTCCTGTCACTGGCTTTCTCTCATCGCTGTTTTCCAGTGGTTTGGAGAGAGGAGAAAGGGAAAAAAAAATTGTTCCTCCCAAATACCTCTTCTCTTTTACATCCCCTTTCCTCCATGTGTCCTCTCTGCTATTCCAGATTTCAGGAATTCCATCAGCAAAGGGCTTAACTAATCCCACTGCTATCCCTGATGCAAAAGGTAAAGCAAGCTCCCTGCAAACCAAGATCCCTTGAAAAAGAAGATGCAGACAATCTTCATTTCCATCCCATCTTCTCCTGCTCCTTCGGAAAGCAGGCATATGGAACAAAAATCTTCCCTGCACTGTGAAAGAGCCGTAGCTCAGTAAAGTCAAATCTGCATCTTGGCGCAATGTGAGAGTTCAGATCAGCCTTTTGCTAATTTCTCATTTGATGTCAGGAACATTAAAATTTTATTTCTTATGAGATGACTACCATAGCTAACGCAGGCAGCTGCTGCTGGGCTGGCTACAAGACTAGAGCTTGGGGCTTCCTATTCTAAACGCTGCCACCACTCGAAATGGAAAGCTTTGTCAGCACCGAGCAGCAAAGGGCCGCGGCATGCAGCTGAGTTCGCATGCTAACAAATGCAGGTTACCCAGATCTTACTTTCCCTGGAGATACCAGCATTCCTATTCACCTTTCATTTTAAAGTCTGTACAAGGCCAAAACCTGCACCAGGTTCTTACCCAGTATCTTTTTCCTGTTTTCTGCTGAGACTCTGGGTAAGGCCTCTGGGCTGGACTTACCAGCACCATATGCAATACTGGTCAGGCAAATACGGCATGAGCGCAAAGCTCATGACCTTTCTGGCAGAGCATTCGGGGAATGACTAACACCGCTGGTGCCTTCAAGGTCAGGAGTTTGTGGGACCCCATGAGGATTCCCCATGTGCTCTCTGCAGAGCAAGGTGGGTCCTTTCTGGGAAGGAAAGCACAAAACGTCCTGGGAAGTACCAAAGGTTGTTTAGAGAAGGTTAGAGCAGGGGACACACTGGAGTGTAAGGCACCCATGGTCAAAGAGTTTGTGTGGCATTTTTCCCTTTGGTGTCCATGTGTCAGTCTCTGGATCATAGCAGTCCAAGGAATCCAAGTCCTCAATGACATTGTCCACGGTGAGACATCGTCCTCCTGTGACATACAGCTTGTTCTTGATGACAGTGGCGCCATGATGCATTCGTCTGTCCTTCATGTCTGCACATTTAACAAACTTGTTGCCTTTTGTATCATAAGCAATTATTCTCCGGGTGTACCCTAAATGCAAAGCCAGAGGTGGAAGAGACAGATGGGAATTAGAGCTTATGGCCAGCAGAAGGAGTGATAATATATTTCCTGCTAGTCTTCAATAAAACCTATTATACTGGTACATAATTTGGCAGAATTAAGATATCTAAGCTGGGAAGTGATGATGTGTCACAAGAATGCCTGTCTGTCTATCTCCCCTTCCTGTTTATCCTCATCCTGTCTCATAGCACCTTGGCAGCCAAGGCTCGACGAGCACCATAAAACCCATCAGATCAGGCAAGCAACCTGTCACAGTTGGAGCTTGCAGTTTTCTGCACGTGCCTTCAAATGTCCCAAAGTATTTCTTTTCACCCAACAGACTTCTAGAGCTTAACTTGGAAATACAGAAACCAATGGCACATGGGACAGGAGCAACAATGCCTTGTTGGGTTGGAGTCGTAGTTGTCTACTGAATGGAGCTGGGTACTCAACAGCACAGTGCCATCAGTGCTCGCTCCCCTCCCAAAGCCCTTGGCACCGTGTCTGTGCTGGTCACCATGTCAGTGACCCAATGGACAGCTCTTCCACTGAGGGGTGATGTAACCTCGCATCTGCTGAGAGGTAAGGGCTGGTGCCAGGGCCATTGCCCTGAAGCAATGGAGGTGTGGAAGCTTGGTACCCAGCAGTACCTTGCCCATGTATTCCTGTAGATAATCAAGAGTGCCCATGGCAAACAAACTGCTTTGGGCCATGTTTTGCACACCTTGAAGCCACTTTCCCTAACAAAAATCAAGGCCTGTCTTGCTTAGGCCAACCCACTCCCCTTTGTTATGACGTGACCAGTCATGTGAAGAGGACCTGAAATGTGATGAAAGCTATTTTTAAGAGAAAATGTTATTTTTGTGGGTTTTACTGTTGTTGATAAACTAAGAGTGTTTGGTCAATGTTTTGGCATGGAAGCTGATAAATAAAACCTGACCATGGTGAATCTCTTTACTTTCAAGCAAAATGAAAGATGTTTAAAATTAACATGAATTTCTGTTGCTTTTGTTAGATAAATAAAAAATAAATTGAGAACTTAAGCTCAGCAGCAGCAGACTTGGGTCAATACAGGCCCTTCAGATTAATGCATTTGAAGATAAGAAAGTTGAAAATACTGTATTTTGGGCGCTGTGGTCTGAGGTCAGGGTAATCTGCCACACCGGAGCCTGATAGTCTTGGACCTTTTGACTCAGGTCTCCCCTATTCTCACTGCAAAGGGTAGCAGTGGCCTCCTGCTGAGAGATGACACCATGTCTGAGACCTGTGTGATTTGGGTTCAGTCCTCTGCTCTGCTAAAGCTTCCCTATGTCTCATTTTCCCTTAAATAATCTAATACATACTTCTTCGTGCCAGCCTGTGGTCAGGGGAGTTGCATTAAAGACTGTAGAGTGCCAAACTACCAATGATGTGATCCATCAAAGTGCCACGGGCAGAGGCTGATCCTCAGGTTGAAAAAGGCACTGAGAAGTTTCCCCTCTCCGAGTGTTTCACGCCCCTCTCAGGACATTTCACAATTACCCCCAGGAGGCAGCTACAAGACCGATCGATCCCTCATAGCCCTGTAGCCCACCCATCCCAACAAGCTGCCCATGGCCTTGTGGTAACCACGCTCTCCACCCTTCCAAGAAGAGCAGTCAGGGAGGGCCAGGCTGTGAGTCAGCAGAGGAGGAGCAGGACCCCTACGCCCTTGGCTTCCTCCCTTCTTCTGCAGAGCGGTAACTTGCATTGGCTTTTCCCCAGTTTCCTCCCACCCAGGTCCTGCTGCTTGGAGTAAGAAGGTGCCTCGTGGAGAACTTGTCCCCAATTCCATGGCCATGAGACCCCATGAAAGATGTGTATGGAAGGTGGACACACTCCTTTCCTTCCCACGCTACATGTGCTTTTTGAGGGAGAACCCCAAGAAGGAAGGCTGCGAAATCCCACAGGAGCTGGCAGGGAGAGGCGGGAGGGAGGGTGAAACAGAGCCCTTACCACCTACGATGATAATCTGGTCTCCGATCATGACAGCTGGTGCACAGACATTCTTCACCACTCTGGTCTCCATCCGAAACCACGTATTCCTGGAGACATGGTAAACCTGACAAATAAATAAAAGATACACACGCAGCTATTTATGTTGCATTTTAACTGGCAATTGTAATTACAGAGGAACTTATGTTTTTTATTTTGTCCTAATAAATACAATCCTCTGGCTTGAACTGCTGGAAATCTGAGAATTTACCCACTTTTTTTCCTAATATGTCCCCTTGGAAACCGTTCTAGTTCTCCAGGCTTGTCTGCTCAGGAGATGCTAGCACATGCACTAGGGCAGAGTGTATCTGTCATATGCAAGCTTCTTGGCTGTCAATCTTTGCATGGCCATTAAATCACTGTAACTCCTGGATAATGCTCTCCCAAAGTGCAAGCCATTTAATTTCATTTTCCAGTTATTCTGTGTATTCCTGCCTTAGCCTTAGCAATTTCCTGGGCAAACAAACCTCAACTTCACCTAGCTCTGCTGGCAGCCACCGTGTTTGCCCAGCTGCTGTATTTGTGCTGGTGGCTGGTATGCACTCAGATTCGCAAAGGGACTTGTTGATGGGACTTAGAGTAGTATCTAAGTCATCAATTTATGTGAGAAAAAGAGCTGTTGCCAGATGATGATCATTCAGTCACCTGTATCTGGGCGACGCAAACTTTTATGTCACATCATCCGCTTCTTAATATAGCAAATATCTCCAGGACATCTCCCCACTAACTGATAAATATATTTCCTTCCTCCTGATAATCAAGTAGCGTTATCCCCGTAAAGAAGTATTGCTCATGTGCTGGCTGCCATCTTAGCCTTTAATGATCCTTTTTAGTTAAAACACCTAAACCAGTGAAAAACACTCATGGGGAAAGTAACACTACAATGTTGCTAAAGCATCAAATCAGATAAGAAAGGATTTCATATATTTTTTCCTCCTAATAGAGTGTAACCGCTGAAAGCAGGCAGAGAGCCAGCAACATGTGGCAGGAGCCACATTTTTAACACAACTGTTTATATGAAATAACTGTCAGTTTAAGTCCTGGCCCTTTGATGAGTGAGAATCTAATCACTCTAATGATTGTGAATCTTTGATTTTGCTGTGAGTGAGCAGGTGCGCCGCTGAGACCCCAGCTTGGCTGCCAAGTGGAAAGCGCTGATTTCGGTGAGATTGGCTACAGGCATGAAGCCAGGCAGGGGGGTCGGCCGCTGCCTGCCATAGCATCACCTGCAGCAGCCCTGGCCCCAGTGCCTACCAGCGGCAGAGCTGACTGACACCCAAAGAAGTACCTCAGGGCTTGTGCCTGAAAAACACTCAAAGGGGAAAATGAAAGAGTTGCAATGCTCCCTGCAGACAAGACTTCTCTGAAGCCACATGTCAACTCATCCTGCCTCTTGCTGCAACTCACAATAAAGGTTTTTGGGGGGTTGATTTCCTCATGAGGGTGATGAACTGCTGAATACCTTAGATGAAACGGCCTATGACAAGCAGGACTGACCATTACCTGGATCAGCCGGACAGGGTTTTGCATAATGTCTTCTCCCCCAAAGAGGTAGACCCTCTGATCTTTGGCAGCAACAGCAGGGTGAAGGACAGCAACAGGCATGTTTGCCATGCTCTCACAGGTGTTGTAGATGCTATCGTATCTTTCCACAGAATTCAGGATTTCCTGGTTTTCACCAATTCCACCGAATGATAAAATATAATTTTTATATGTCAAGCTTCTGTGGGAGTAACGTGGAACTAACATGTGCTCAGCCAACCTCCACTGATTGAGTTTGAGGGAGTAAATGTAAATATTATCACTGACCGGGCTTTTCTTATTGCTAACAGGCATCCCTCCGAGCACATAAATATTGCTGTGTAGGCTCACTGCAGAAGCTTTGTACAGGCGCACGGGAAGTTTGGCCAGGCTTAGCCATTGGTTTGTCTTGTCATCATAGAGCAGGACATCCCTCGTGGTCTGCTGGCTGTCCTTCCTGCCACCAATGATGATGAGGAACTCTTGGTTGGAGTACCTGCGAGGAACATGCAGCATGGGCTTGATGTCAGGCGCGTTGGTGCTGTACAAGGAAAACATATGTCTCCGGGCTGACTCAAGGATGCTCCTGCAAGTGGGTGAGGACTGAACGAGGGAGTCATTGGCAATGAAGTGGAAGAGGAAAGTTGGATGGACGTACTGAAGCCGGACCTTCTTGAACAACTCTTGGATGTAGCCTTGTCTTGCCTGGATGTCATGCCTGATCCAGACCATCAGTGTCTCAAAGACCTGCTCCTCCTCCCCGCAGAGCTCATCATCCCCAAGGTAATCAATGAGCTCCAAGGGACAAAGGTCCTTCAGGTCCTCAGAAGAGGCCACCTCAGGAAAGCATTTCAAAGCCATAGCCTTGGCTTTCTTGCTCAGGTTTTGGCAGTTCAAGACTTTTGCCAGTCTGATCATGCTCAGACAGTTGTCAGGAGTCAGCTTGTCTTGGAGGTAGGCAGAGCAGGCCTCAAACAGCTTAGCATACTGCAGCATGGAGGCCGTCTCCAAGAGGCACAGGACATTCTCAGTGGATATAAGAATCTCCCCTGTGTAAACGTAAAGGATAATCTGATCCAAAACCTCAGCGTCGATGCCCTTCAGGATGACTTTAGCCTGGCGACTCTCTCTGAAGTCATTACAGAACATCGCCTTGAAGTATGGACTGCTGGAAGCCAGCACATTTCGGTGGCAGGGGATTTCGAAGCCCCCAGAGCAGAGAGTAACATCAGTAAGCATCCCACTCTGCCGCAGAGCATTCAGCTGCCTCAGCAGTTCAGAAGAGAAGTCCTGGTCTTTGAAGAGAAACTCCTCAGTGGATCCCTCCTCCATAGCAAAATAGGAGAGAGATGAATTCTGGACTTGGCAGAAAAAAACAGATTCTTAGCAGCTTTTATTGAAATATCCAGCTCCAAGGGAACAAATCGGGACTTTGATGTTGCTCTAAATATCCGTTCACTGTTATGCATAAAAATGGAACATGGGTTAAGCACAGTGGGAAAATAATAAAGAAGCTAAAAGGTCGCTAAGACCCTTTAAAATTTTCATAAAGTTATCAGATAAGTTGCAGTTCTGAGGTCAGCACTGCCTGTGTCCCTGGCAAGAAGCAAAAGCACTGAAGTTATCTCACTGATTTGGGATGAAAGCTGGACAGCTGAAGCAATTGGTTTGTTCGTTTTAATCATGTTGAATAAATGTGCTTAGACATTTATTCACTATTTTAAAGTATTAGCAATTTAGTAGCTTGCGCCTCTTTCCCCTAGAGTTAGTCACTCCCAAAGAATGTAAATCTGGCAGAGCTGAACTCTGCAGCAGGGCAAACGAAACCCTAGAGACTGGGAATCTGCATTAAAACGGTTATTTATTAACTCTGCTTAGCTGTGGGGTTTTTTATGTTAATCAGACACACAATGACTAAATTAAGTGCCAGGCAGAACAATATGATGAGTATCTATTGTCATGGCTAACTGCTCAACCTGCAGTGAAACGGTAGGGTAGAAATGTTTACCTTCTGTTGTCCTTCACTGCATGCACTTACTCTCTGTCGTTTATTCTCTGCTGAGATTTTCCATAGCTAGAGCCTGGATAAAAACCTATAAACCCACAGGACGTTTCTTTCAGTAGGTAAGTGATTCATAGAGGGTGATTTCTGGACGTGTTTATTCTGAAGTCACTTTTGCCGCTTTCAGGAGCTGTGCGCAGGAGCGGCGAGGCGGTGGGGCATTGTATACATTCCAGCGCTAAGAATAGGCGCACATGGGCTTCTCGCTGTTATCACATGTGACGCCGCCGTTGCCTTTTGCAATGACCTGGCCGGTACTGAGCATGCCCCAGTGGTGTTTTTCTGGCAAATGTTTGCACATAATAAATAGACACAGAGAGGAAAGTTCACTTATAAAAGTCCTGGCTGTCCATTTGGAAACAGCGGCAGAACCCTGTCCTAAAGTGCCTGGGAACTCTAGAAGACCGTAAACAGTCTGCAACGCCTCGTGCTAGGTAATGCACTGTCACTGTAGTTTCATGGAGAAAAAGGGAGAGAGAAGGGCTTCCAGGGACCCCGGTGGGACGGACTGTGACTCCACCTTATGGAGAGATCTGGGGAGTGTTGCCCCGTTGCAGTCTGGTGGGAGATGCTGATGCACCGGGACCCCTGCGCCCAGGGCTGCCCCAAGGTGGGCAGGGAGAGCCCAGCTACCTCTGCCGAGTAGCTACTGAAGTTCACTCTTGCAGCAGTTTATCTTTATGATGCTGCTTGATATTTCATATAGAAAATATCAGGTCGTGGCCTTTTGTGTAAGGATCTCAGCTCTCTGAACCCCTTAGCACAGAACTTCTCAAGCAGGTGGCCTGAGGAAACTCAGTGTTACGGGTGGGAGGACTGGAGCGGGTTGCTGAAGTGAGTGCAGCAAGCTGGAAACCAGGGTCCCAGGATGGCAGGTCCCAGGGTGGCACTTAGCTCTCCAGGGCAGACACCTTGATGGGGTCCCTAACTGCAGACACCTGCACATGAACAAGGTGTCTGAGCTCCTTTTGCAGCCAGTGAGGTCTAGTCAATACAACCAAGTCTGCCAAGTTATTCAGGTCACCAGTAAGTACCACCTATATTTGGGCAGGTGAACAGTCTTCCAGGCACTGCTAGGTCTCCATAGGTGCTCAGCTGTCTCAATCACATGTAGGTGTCCATTTTTAATACTCCCATGTAGGTATCTGTGATGACGAGCCTAAATCCATCCCCAGGGCTGGGATCAGTCAAACACCTCGTGCTGGCGGAGGATCCTCCACAACCTCAGCTGGCCCCCAGCTGGGGTTTCCAGCAGTGTGATGTGTCCCAGCTCTGTGCCAGTTTCCTGGGTGTTTCAAGAAAAATGGCATTGGCTGCCCATGCCTGGGTAACAGGATTGGGCCCCTCATCTGTGCTGAAATTCCTCCCTTTGTTCTGGGATGGGATTGAATCCAAAATGTTGTTTCTAAGCATCACTACCACAGGAAAACACAAGGTTAAAGCAAAACTCATATTTTCAAAGCCAAAGCTCACGGGTGAGTCATGTCTACGTCTAGTCACAACAAGGCAGATGAGCGAAAATCATTGGGAGTCACAGTGCCCTTATGTCAACTCCCGTGCCGTGCTGGTGTTTGCAGTCCTCCATATGTTCCTGCCCCCATGTCCGCGGCCCAGCAGACTGCAGGGATGGGGGCAGCCTGTTCCTCTAAAAACAGCAGCTTTGCATCATGGGTCGTGCTGTACGTGACCTTTCCCAGAGACTTTTCAATGCAGCAGAACAGCATGGTGAAATGCCTGAAGGCTAGACAAAACCCTGAAGGCCCAGACCCATGTTAAAGACAGGAGTTGGGCTGGCATAGCTTTTTGGAGGCTGTGGCATCTTCCCTTTCCGCACAATCTGCGTGTGTGTGTGCACACGCGTGTGTGAACGGCTCGGTGAAGTGAGGGAGGGGAAACGCAGGAGCCACTGGACTTGACTCCTGCAGGTGAGTCATTTTGAGGGTAAACATGGCAATGTGCAGCCTTTTCCCTCTCCTCGAGTAAAAAGGATGATGTTGGGGCACTGGGGAAAATGCGCCCTCCCCTCCCTACTCTCCGCTGCCGCTGCCTCACCAGCTGGCCATGATCTTGCTATAAATATTTAGAGTGGCATTAAAAACCCAAAGGAGAATTTCTCTCTCCTTGTCCAGAGAATGTTAGCTACCCAAACAAAACACCCTCTCTCTTTCTTTCTTGCTCTGTATGTATATGCTCTTGTTGCGGTCTGTTTTGATGATTGATTTAGCTTTATATCTCTGTTCTGGCTCTAACTCTTTACTGCCTATTTAGTTCTGCCTCTTCCTGGCAGTGGCTGTGGATTATTTTTTTAACCCTTAAAGAAACAAATGATGCTATCTGACTTCACTAATGACACTGTTTTATGGGATCGGGGAAGGGTAGGTAGGATGTTCTTCTGCTTTAGATGCTGATAAACGTGGCATTTATTTAGAAGATCCCAGGCTCGAGAGCTTTGCACAGTTATGCAAACTCCTTCTAACCAAGAGTACAGCGTGTGCTGTTTAAACAGCTTATTGCTCTTTGGGGGGGTTGCTGCTCCCTGCTGAGCCCCTGCACAGGTCCCTGCCAATTTGGGGCCAAGGCTCCTGAGCGATGAAGCTCCTGCTGCCTGCTTTATAACTCTCTCTTCTTTCTTTCCCAGAGATTATGGTTTCAGACACAACTCGAACCAAGTGGGCACATCAGCACTGCTTAGTTAGGATTTCCTTTATAAATATACTAGAAATAATTTTCATGGCATATCCTAGAACAGTATGTCCTATAAGGCCCCTACTGCTGCAGCATGACCCCCGGTGAGAGGGAAGAGCTGTTTCTTCTGTGGGACAGTGTAACTTGTCTAAGAAAGTCTGTTTTTGAATGATTTCTTGAGGCAGGTTTCCTAGGTTGGCATGCTATTGACCGAACCAGGTCCAAGTGGTCTTTTTTGGGAGGACAGGATACTGCATTAACCACGGGAGTGCGATGTTGCACGGATAACAGGCTGGTCTGAGCACCATGTGCAAGTGGGAAAGTGGGCTCATTCGCAGGTTATGTGACCCAGCAGCGCTGTGGGACGCGATGCTGCAGGTCCCCCATAGCCCTTGAGGGAGACTAGAGCCACTGGGGGCTGCTAAAAACAGCGATCCTCTGCAACCGCTGCTGTGTGAACTCCATGGGCAGTTTCTAGAAAATGGAAATGTCTACCAAAGAACAATCACTTTGTTGCAATGCTGTATACTCACCCTGCTCCTTCTGGTCTCTCTCCTTAAGTGTTTGGGATTGCTCAGTTTTGGAATTAGGATGGTTGAACCTTTGATCTGACCCACAGCAGCTCTTCTTATGTTTTAATGTAATGGGATGATGAAATGTCTATTATCATGCACTAAGCAGCAGAGCGGAAAAAAGCCGTAATCTAATCGGCCAGCAGACAGGTGCATAGAGAAGATTGGTGATGTCAGACAACTTCTAAAACTCATACACTGATCCTATTACAGTTCAGGTGAAAATGAACAAATATGGATAAGGAAAAAGGACTGTTCAAGGCAGAGACTTCACTGAGCTTATTCAGTGTTACGTGCGTTGCCTTGATGACTACCAGCCCCCACAATTATCAAGAGAGAGATCATCCTTTTCCCCAAATTTGCAGTCTAAATAGACAGGGGAACAAAAAAAAAATATTTCTTATTATGGTCTTTATAAAACTGGGAGAGGGAACAAAAACCAGGATTAACATTCCTCATTGTAAAAAGGGACAATTACAGGGATCAGAATTGATCAGATGCCACGAGTTGGAGAGGATGGGAAGATGCCCCAAGCAGCAGTGGTGGCTGGCTGAGGTGACAGCTTCAGCCCAGGATGGGAGAGCAGCCAGCACCGCCTGGGATGCTGCCTGCTCTGGCAGTGTGGAGCTTGATTGGTGGGCCCTGACCAGGGTAAGATGCGCACCTCACACCATTTTGCTTATGATAAACTGGAGGGGAGAGGAATACAGGAGTAGAAAGGAAGACAAATGTGTTGGGGAATTATTAGATTTATGTATTGCATATTTACACATGCATGTAAACGTATATAATGAATATGTGCATTGAAAGAGCAAAGATATGTCTATACTAGCAAATCACTATCAAGAGATAGCATGCATAGGGACCTTTCTACTCAACACATATGTCTGTATCTCACCCAGCTGCTATCACCACCAGGAGACCTAACTCCACATGTGATGTCTGAGTCAAACCTGTGAAGGAAATGTTTCCCCACACCCAGCACCCGGTTTTGGACTCATCCTGATACTCCCCACTGAAGCAGCCTCCCCGAGTCCTGTCCATGCTCAGCCGGAGCCCAGTGTGGATTTACTATCTGCTTCACTGGATTGGGAAAACAGCCCTTTGACCCTGTCCTCTAGCTCCCTGGTTGACATCTCAGGTTCACTGAAGACAATGAAACTCCCCAAGCTAGCAAGTAGTGGAGAAGACATTGAAAAGTAAACAGAATCCAGTGTGAATATGGGGAATTGATGGACAATCGTACGTGACAATAAGATGAAGTCCTTTGTGTTACTTCAGGCAACAGAAATACAATGACTATTCCACATGGCGCTGCCAGGTGTGGTCTCCTGCTCACAAACTACCTAATTCTCCTAGAGTCATGGGAAGATTGGGTTGGGGAGCCCCTGGGAGCTCACCTAGTGCAACCTCCTCCTCACAGCAGGGCTAACCTCAGAGTTAGATCAGGTTGCTCAGGGACTTGTCCAGTTGAATTTTTGAAATCTTGAAAGATGGAGATTTCACAGCCTCTCTGGACAACCTGCTCCAGTCCTGAACCGCTCTCCTGGTGAAGACTTTTTTCTGTATGTCCAATAGGAATTTCCTTTGTTGCAACTTGTGCATGCTGCCTCTTGCCCACAGAGAAGTCTGCTAACTTCCTTCTGCTGCTACTAGTTGCCAACTATCTGGTCTTCTTCCTATTCTTTAAGTCCAGATACCCTTATGATCCTTCTCTCTCATTCCTCTGTAACTATTGCATTACTCATTTTCTATTTAGCTGCTCACCAAACATGATTTCCCTGAGTGCCCTATCACCACAGCTGTCGTTCACATTGGCATGATACTTAATTCTGAACTAAGGCTTAGTTTAAGA